GTTCTTATGAGACAGTCTCTGTCATTATCAGAAATGAAGGGTAGAAACTTGAGGAGTTGTATCTCATTTTATCACTGGGAAGTCTCAGAAGGAAAAAAAATAAAAGAACGATCCAAGTTTTTGATAGTTCCATTTAATTGAAAGAGAACTATGTTAATGTAACCTTAAACTCCAAAATTAAGACAGTTCAGAGTTCAGGCCTTCTTCTTGTTCCCTAAGCTATATGCAGACCCTGGACTGTGCAGGCCAAAGATGTTGCCTGCCTGGGGATATGATCTCATGAGGACACTCAGGAGAGGGCTGGATGGACTTTCACAACTGCATAATTTTGCATCTATGTTCTGAAGTTACATGTCTGTTGTCTCTTTTGTCCAGCCATTTTGGGTGGTTCTATTTTCTTTTGTGTATAAGATCTTCCTCAAAGCAGGAACATGGATTCCTAAGGGTAGACCGTACTGTTGGCCCAAGAGCACTCAGCACAGCCTTGCCTCTATACGAAAGCATACCAAAAGGTAGTTTACTGGGGAAAAAAAAAAAAAAAAAAAAAAAAAAAATCAAATTAAAAATAAATTAAAAAAAACTTGAAGGATATTTTTTTGTAACATATATTTCAATATTTCACATTTTCCCAGCTTGCCCTGAAACACCAGAATTTTACTGAAGAGACCCAATGTCAGCCTCATCCCAAGGAGACTGCAGGCTAAGTTGCAGACACAGTGCACTGCACTGGGAAGGTAAGCCCAACTTCCACTGTAACCCAACATGGGGATGTGCAAATCTCAGCAGCAAAATTGGATTTATTACTAAAATGGCTATTTTAGATTCTTATCGGGTGACGGAGATGAAAGAGAAGATTCTGAAAAGAACATATGAAGGAGAAGGCAATGGTTAACAAGGCAAGAAGAAATATAATCACTGGTGCCCTAACAGGATGCAAACGAGTTTACAGAGCAAGATGCATGCCCTTGAGCTGTTCACCAGGACAGAAACAGACCTTAGAGCTGAAAACATACAGTCTTAAATTTTCTGGGATTTTTTTTTCCTGGTTTTTAATTCATGAAAATATAAAAGCAATAAATAATTTTTCCATCAACAAATCCAACATAGAACTCCCCTTCCCGAAGCTCAGCCACAGCCAAGTTACAGAAACACTGCCAAGGCATTCCAGACCAAATCGTTCTGAACTTCTGGATTCCCTAAATTTAAACAGAAGCCAGATTGATTTCTTGAAACTAAAAAATGTGCCTACAAGAACTATTTCTGTTCATGAAACTTGACAGGCTATACCAGAGCCTGAGCAGGCAGCAAGAAACACACGCTTTAATGGCCAAGTTTAAAAAGTCCTGCAACTCTGGGTTTCTAATGAAAGTATGGACAGAGCCTTAACTACACAGCAGCACTGGCAGGCGCCACCATAATAACCATTTAAGCTCTCTTTTCTCAGAAAGGCTCAGCCCAGCCAATGAGGGAGGAGTAAACAGGGCTGGTAAATTAATGACCTTTGAGCATTAGCAGATGGCCTTTTTACGAGCACAGATTAGCAGAACATGGGAGTTTTCAATGGCCGCTAACAGGTGTCAGTGATGCTTTTCTCTCTGTCCCTGCCCACAGCCTGCAAAGTACAGATGACTGAGTTCAAACTGCATCTTCACTCCCACCCTGTCCCTTATTTCTATGCTTACAACACAGTTTCTTGGATGACAGGGTGATTCCCATCCCAGGCTAACCTGTAAGTGTTGTGCACTACCAGAACCAAACATGACCACCCTGTGTCTGGAAGTTACTACCCACAGCATCATCATCACCATGACAATTCGTAGCCTGAGTGATGGCTGAAATGGTGGCCTTGTTCGTTCTGGTACCAGGAAAGCTGAAAGAAAACCCAGCCATAGGTCTCAAAGGCATTTGAGAAGAGGGAGTCAGAGCAGCTCCCATAGCCAGGCCCAGTTGTCAGCTCTCTGTTTTGCCTGAGATGTGGGATTGCTGAAGGAAAGGTTAGGCTCTGGGACTGATTTTCCATCTCCTGCAACACCTCTCACTTCCTCGGCTTCTGCTGTTTGGGCATCTTAATCACTGGGCCTCCTGCTCTGTAGACTCCCTCTCTTTAGAACCTTCACTCTCTGGCTCCCCACTCTCTAAGCCTCCCACTCTCTGGACCTTTAGTCCCTGGACCTCCCACTCTCTCAGCCTAAACACTCCTGGCATCACACTATCTCAGCCTCTGCTCTCTGGGCTTCTTACTCTGGACCTCCCATTCAGCTCCTAACTCAGCCTACATTCACTGATCCTCTCAGTTTCTGTTCCTACTGCTTTCATGGCATCCCTTCTCTCAGCTTCGTGCTTGCTAGATCTCTGATTTCCACAGCCTCCATCTCTTTTCTCCTGCCACTCTCAGTGTCCAGTCTCATGACCTCTCGGTGCTGGTGTCTTATTCTCTCAGCCACCACTCTCTAGGCTTCCCCTTTCTAGGCCTTTCACTTGCTAGACCATTATTGTGTCATTGATGCTGCTGTAAGACTTGGATAAGACATTGCTGCATAATTTCTTTGAAACAAGAAAAAGGTGAAGCCCTTTAGAAATACATACAACAACTGAAAGCATCTGTTGACACTTGTAGTGAATAAAATGAATCAGCGGCTGCCCTCTTAATAAAGGCTGATTTTGGAACCAGCACCTTTTTGTAGCTTTTCTTTAACTGGAACAGAGGAACAAAGTACAAAACTGATAAAACAATGCAAGAACTGTGGCCCTCCCGGAGAGATTAAATACATCAATAGAAAAAAAAGCAAAAAAGCATGATATAAATTCTGGATTAAACTCTAAAAGAGTCTGTGAGTAATGGAAGGTTGAAGTATTAATCTTACAATTATGTCCTCTCATTAGAAAGAATATATTATGGCTGGGATTTGGGGCAAAACACCAGGGAATGGGGTTGGAAAACTAAGGGAAAAAAAAACCTTGATAAAACAATTAAAATGTACCACACAAAGGAATTAAACCTGTCCACAACGGAGTTCCTGAAAAGCAGCACTGTGAGATGATTTATACAAACTACTGCAAGAAAAAGTCCTAGGCCAGGAAGCCATAAAGAACCAAATGCTGGAAACCACAGAAAGTGGTACATGACACTGTCCACAGCATGGCAATTGAGAGACGTGAGGAAACATGCAGTGGTAGCCAGAGTCAGTGGAGGTAGAAAGGGAAAAGTAAAATGCATCAGCAGCAGCATTAGCTCTGGAGAACCTGCTGGCACCAATCACCACTGTCGTGTGATAGTGTGTGGATGTGTCTAGGGAGAAAAAAAGAGTGTCAGTGAGTCCAGCAGCGATGCATAAGTCAGTGTGAGGCCAATTCCAGCAGTATTAGAGAGAGAGAAAAAAAAAGAAGAAGAAAAAGAAAAACAAAAACAAAAAAAAACTACAAGCAATATGAAAATCAAATGTTAAATCTCAAAAGATACAGCAGTAATGGACTTCTAACAAGTACATGCAGGACATTCTTCCACAGGGCAGGAGCGACAACTCCAAGAAGAATGCAGAAAACTCTAAGATGTGGGGAAGTATATCTGAAGAAGATGGCATGGGCCTCTTATCCTTATGAACGGGTGTTTCTGTAGATGTGTGAAAAAAGGACATTTCCTATTGCCTACAGAGATACTGCTAGAAACTGGGCTAATACAGAGCATGTTGTGTTGGACATGTCCTGAATGTTCCTGTAAATCATGCTCAGGACCCCCTTGGGAACTCTTTCCTGCAGTGCTGTTTGAATTGTGTTTAGCTCCTGCAGCATTTCATGGAAGCATGCAATTGGCAGTGCAGAGGTCAGGCTCTGCACAGGTGCTGGTCGCATCTGTGCCTGATGGCCCAGTGGCACTAAGCTGCAGAAGAAACAGGAGTTTAAACAGATTATAGATGTGACATGTAACACTGAAGTCTACAGATCCCAGCAAAGAACAGAGAAACTCATTCTTTTCAAACTATAATGCCAAAATCAAGACCTGGCCTTCATTCAACAGGAATACCAAGAAAAACACAGAGTTTGTTGAGACAGAAAAGACTCTTCTGGACTCATCATCCACTGAGACACAAATATTGTTGCTTTGGTCACCAGTGCTAACACGGGGAAAGAGCTGTGCATTGCCAAGTGAATACCAGCAACCTCAGGGACCTGCACCCCCTAACACACAAGAACTCAGCTTGGTCAGGGTGTATAGATTGGCCACTGCTGCACCCAGGAATGGGAGTTGGTGTAGCAGCTTTCTGAGCTCCATGGAAGCAGTGCCTTGGAAATGCTTTGAATGAGAGGATTTCAATGGCTTCCAGCAGGAAGAGAGAACGTGTCAGAAGTCGGTGTTCTTCCTCATTAAAGCCGGGCCAGAGGAGTGTGGTGAGGCAGCCGAGTGTGGACAAGATGCAACCAGAACTCATTAACTCACCACTATGGTGCTGCCAGTGCCTCCAGGGAGACCACACAGCGGCGCAGAGCACCTCAGAGACTAATTGAACACAGTTAATTATTACGTGGTTTAAGATACATTTGCATTTCTTTACTGTGCTTGTGTTTGTTGTAGTTGCTCTTGGCTGGGAGAAGGTAACTTACAGAAACTTTGAAAAGAGCAATTCTGAAGGCACTTTTGTGTCAGCAGGGATTGAGATGACCCATGACTTTGCCACCTCAGAGACCTCCAACCTCTTCATTGCCTGCTGGCATGGGAGGAGAGCCCTGAGGGCTTTTGAGGATGGCAACCTGCCCCTGGTACATGACCCTGCAAAAGCACGACCAAAAGGGATGAGACCCATGCCTCCACAGACAGGAAAGAAATTCTGCTGGAATCAACAAAATAAATAAACTGACAGCAGAATCACAACCCTCCCAAAAAAGAAGCAGCCTCTAAGTATGGCCATGGAGCTCTAGGTTTTAGCTAGCCTAAAGACTGTGTTAGCTGGAAATCTGCTTAGAAACATCACCTTTGTCAGTATGAGTTGATTCATGCCTTTGCACCAAGATCTACATACTGCTGTGGTTTACACAGAGGAGCAGAAGCACAAGGCACAGTGGAGGATGCATTCGTGTGACTGCCATTTGCCTGAGATTGTATGAACAGTAAAATTTAGTGAAAGGGAATGGAAATTAAACTGAAGTGATGAGGAATGCTTGTGTGCGTGCTTGTGAAGCCAACGCACAGAGGAGTTGTGTTCCAAACTATCTGGAGTTTTTAAGTCATTCCTCCAGAGTATTTAACTCACATTTTCACTAGCCTGGTCTCTGAATGTGGAGACCAAGAGATCTGCTCCACGGGGAGTTAATTCCTGGCACTCTGATCCATGCACGGTACAACTCTCCAGACATTAGCGGTGTTATCCCTGGGGATAAATTTGGCCAACTGCATCTACATCCAGCCTGGATGAGCAGGAACGGCTTTTTTGACTCATAGAGATGATTTGTGCCAGCTCCAAATTTGGCATTGAGCCTTTCTCTTTGTTCTGTGTATAGTTAAATAGACAAGATGAAAAAGCCATGACTAATTAGACTGTTAAATTAAACTGCTTTAAATTTATTTTATGTGATGCATAAAGTTCATAAAACGAGGTACTCAGAGTAGTATCAATGACCTTTCTCCAGAAGCTGCAGTCCACCCGGATACTTTTTTGAACCAATTGGCTGAAAACTTGTGGATTTCTTAACACCTTTTATTCCCTCACTGCCACTTGTAAACCTGAAGGATTTATTTTTATCAGTCCCTCACCCACATAATGACTTTAAAATTCCTTAGGTTCATACCTTAAAATATAGCTGGGAATTAGAAGTAATGCCAATTAACAAGTCAAGGCTCAAAGGCACTGATGGAGTTAGCTTGCACTTCTCCCTGGAAAACTGTCATAAGTATATACAGGAATCTGCACACCTCTGGGTTTTGGTGTGGAGCTCTGTCTGTTGGAAAGAGCCCTGTCAGTGCAGCCCTGAGCCAGGCAGCCCTGAGCCAGAGGGGAAAAGGCAGTTTTGGGGAAATGCCCCAAAAGTTCCATCCCCAGCAGCCTCCCACACCTCTGTCTGGGTGGGCTAGGCAGGCGTGTCTGCACTGGGGCTACCTTCATAATGCTGGAAGGGAAGGTTGCATACTCTGTGTATCAGCTGATTCCTGGATCTGAAAACCCTGAACATGAGACAGACAAAAACCCCTTATCTGATATGCATGAGTTACTCTCATTCCTGTTTATTGGGCACGCACATAAAAGGTGATTTGGTGAGACCTCAGGAGTGTCTGCTTCAGGATTTGGCACATTAAGGAGTCCTGAATTTAGTTCCCAGGTCTGTCAGTGTCTTTGGGCAAGTTATTTCACTTTCCTCAATTCCATTTCCTTGTCGGTGGCAAAGTGGTGCTTGCAATATAAAGTAGTGCTCTCTCCCTCCAGCCATGGAGCTTTGTTTGCTGTTCTGGAAAAGCTGCCTTTACTTTTCAGGGGTGGGACAGGGGAGCTGGAGAAGTAAACAGTAAACCGAGTCATTTGGGGAGAGGGAATTTTGGCAGCGAGCAAGTTTTCTTTTATCTTACCACGAGCTCCTTGTGTGATCCTATTATTACCAACACCTAGGCTGTCAAAGGCCTGTTCCTGTTTCACACTTCCTTACAAGTGATGCTGATTATTTACACCCCAGCTCCAGGTCTGGGCTCCCTCTGCATGCCATCGTCCTCAGTCATGGTGCCCCCAGCCCAGCCCACACAAGGTTCTGCCTGCACGTGCCTTCTGTGGGAGCTGCTCACAATGCAGCAACACGACTGCTGACTGGGAGAGCCCTGCCACATGGGACAAGGCACGTGCTGCACACAGCTTGGCACCTGTGGAAGAAGTGTGAGTGGTGAGATGTTTTCTTGCAAGCCTCCAGTTGCGTATTGTGGCTGCAGCATCCCATGCTCCACGCTGCACTTCTCTTCTTTGCACTCCTTTATTTGGGAATATTTTCATCAGAGGTGTGAATGCCTCTCCCTCTGCAGATAATCCTGCCCACCAGAGGCCCACAGACGCTGTATTGCTAAGCAACACTTGGCAAAATGCATGCCAGGTTGTGTGGGTCTCTCGTGATGTTTCACAGAAGCATTGTCGTTTCCAGCTCTGGCATTGTTTCCAGCATTTTGGGTGTCAGTGTTCCTGAAAACTATCACAGAAAGGATGTTTATTGAACTGTCAGAGGGTGAATGATTGACACGAGGCACAAGTACTTTTCATGTTCAGGTTTTGGCATGCCACAATTGGATTATTTCCTGATAAATGCCATCCAATTCTACCAGATGGACCACTGAGAAATATGCCAACCTGTGTGAGAAATGGAGTAGATGCTCAGTGCCACTTATTGGTGATGTGTGCTTCTCCAGCCTATCCCTTTTTGTAGCTGCAGGGTGTTTTACTGAAGCAGTGGCTTTTGTGATGCACATAATTAGAATGGCAAGGCAATTGTCATCATGGGAAAGGGAAGATTTCAATGCACGAATTTGATTTCCGTCATCCAAGCACAGAAGTGCATTACCTGTTCCTCTTCTCTTGGATTAGTGCATGCTCTGCAACTCGTGCACTGGAGATCCACTTTGAAAGTCAGGAATTTCTCGCATATAAATAATTTCAATAAACAAATTTTCTGCTTTCCCACTCATCTTGTCCTAATGGCTCATTCTCAGATCTAAATGCAATAGCAGGACTGTAAGAGCAGACGTGCTGTAACAGCACCCCGAGTTTATCAAACAGCAGAATCTGTGGCAGTGAAGCTCAGCGGGGAGCAGGTGGGATCTGCACTCCCAAAATGGTGGAGCAGAAAGGGGCAGTGAGAGGGCACAGTGCACCCAGGGAGATGGCAGCGGGGTGTTGCCTTGAGGCTGCCAAATGACTCTGGAGCTATTTGAGGTGTGTGCTGAAAGGGACTTAGAGGCGGGGGAAGCATATCCCATGAAGCAGTGCCTGTGCTGAGCACAGGGGAAGGCAGGCTGCCTTCACACCCCTTGTGCAGACACGGGTCAGAACCTGTTATAAAGCACAGAAGCTTTGCTTGAGCTCGGCTTGGCAAGGCATCAGGGAGTGAGCGGCCTTTTGCAGTTCGCTTGGGGTGACATATGATGACATCCCTAATTCTGTAGGATGGAAAACTGCAGGACCATGAAAGTGCGTTTTTTTTTCTGTCTAAGCCAAACCAAATAGTGAGACAAAAGGAACATTAAGTTATCTATTCCTGTACTCCTCGGCACTTTAATATATACATAAAAAGCAGAGCCTTTGTACTATAGCTAATGAGCAGAAGTGAATAATGTGGTATAATTAGCTCGCTTTCTCAGCCTGCTCTCTCAGATACCTCAGCACCCTTCTGACAACGGCGTGGCACAAGTGGTGACTGGTGCCTACATCTCAGATTTACCATCACTTCATTGCTCTGCACTAACACATTTTTCATCTTGGCCATTATGAGGCCTTTCCCCATTGCACTCATTTCTGCAGTTCAGCCACCGCGTCTGTCACAGCTGGCTCACAGGAGACACAGCTTGGAAGGCAGCTCCAGAGGAGAGGCTGTTACTGCACCATCGCCTCCCCAGAGACCTGCGGTCAGACCCTTGCTGCGTGCATGCATGCACACCGCCTAAAAGCACATCTGGTCACAGCGCAGGCTGCCATCACCAAAAATAATGCACAGAGCAGCAAGCAACACTTCTCAGATGTTAATGAAGGCCTTCAGCTTGCAGTGATTTCTACATCAGCCGAACTCCTTTCCTCACTAGGGTGCAGCGATCCTGGAGCTACCAATACCTAAAGTTCACAAAACAAGAAGGAGAAAGAACTGAAATAACAAAGCTGTTTGCAATCTGGTATTCCAGAGCAACACTCCAAATTATGGTCTTTTTTGTTCTGTTCTTCCTACGAAAGGGGGTTGAGAAACAAACTGATGATGCACGGCCTTCAAACAGACAGCTCCAGCTCCCTGAGATTGTCCTGTGCAGCAGCGGCACCAGGACAGTAACTAACACTGTTACTGTGGCTTCTTGGTAAGCTTGCAAACCAATTCAAAACCAGGAAAAAGTCCATTGGCATGCATGCCTTAGCATGAAGCACACGAATGTAATGCTGCTGGTTGGGAGAACTTCAGAATTTCCTCAAAGTATGAACTTTAATTCAGTTCTTTCTGGCATAAACTTTTTCATCCCATTATGTCAAAAACTGTATTACCCATCCATTTGTCTGTCAGAACTATTCCCCCTGGGCCCATATAGCAGCGGCTCTTCTATTCTAAAGCTTCCCATTACATCTTGCTATCAAGAGTCACAATTCTCAGTGAAAGTCTCTGGTGATTTTTGACAATGTTTTACAGTGAACTAGGCCAGGAGCCTCAGAGTTAAAGGAAATCTTCCATCCTGGCAATGAATATGTAATAGGCATTACACGGTGCAGTATACCAAAAATGTAAGGTTCATTAAGCCTTTCCGAGGCGAGAACCTCCGTGTAGCTCTGAATGAACCTGTCTTCATGGTGGCATTAGCAAATGATATTTTGGGCAAGGAAATATTAATACTCTGCATTAAGGAACAAATTTGTTTAAATATTCTGTGGCTCTGCGTGGATGCAGATGATCCAGGAATAAATAAAAAGTGAATAGTTGTCCAACTTTATATGTAAATTGTCTTTGTCTTATGTGCATAAGAAAGCTCTTCACTACTAAATTCCTCATATTAACAAGCGGGAGTGTAACTAATATATAAAATAAAGTCATTCTCTTTAATGAGAATGCTAAATATTTTAAAGAAATGCACAGCTATGAAATATTGTCAAGGGCATTTTTATACTTAAGTTTAAGAACACTTATGACTTAACCGTTGAATAATTTAACACATTCAGCCTTGAAGTACTATTTATGTATGTTTTTTAATGTTCATACTTACGTCTGCTTTTCTTTGCTAAGGATTTAGGACCTTTGATTTCTGTTTATAAAATTTACATCTTTAATCTCCCAGCTCTGTGCATTTTCCCACTCAACTCTTGCAACAATGTAAGCAGAAAGAGGAGCTAAAAGCCTCCTGCAGCTCAGAGCAGGGATTTCACTGAGTATGAGGACAGACTTGAAGGAAATGAGCTCCAAGTGGAAAACCTATATAAACAAGAGCCTCCCGTACAATGGGGATGGGGGATTTGCTTGCAAGTTCATGAGCTCTGAGAGGCAAGGAAAGCCCTCAGCGCCCACCACAGCTGCACCACATCATGAGGAAAATCTGTGGGTGGGGGATGCGGGTGGGCTGGGGGTGCTTCTGCACCGAGCTCTGCCCACCATCACCTGTGTTGGGCCAGGGGTAGCTCTGAGCGCTTGAAGATGCCCAAATGTTGAGGGGTTTGGCTGGCCACCCCAGGCAAAGGTACCGTGCTGTGGGTCTGCATGGAATTTGCCCCCAGGATAAACAAAAATATTGGCCAAACAGCTTGCAGTATATCTTGTCACCTTTCATTATGGTATTTTGCAACACACTGATGCTTTGTGGCACAGCAGATGTCGCTCGACATGTCGTACACTGAGCAGTGGCTTTCAGGAATGTCTGAGATGGGCTTCTTTCAGACAGCAGCATCCTGACCCGGCATGGGGCCGCTAGCAGGTAGCGCTGAGTGCAGTAGCACCAAGGCCAGAAGGGCTGGCTGCAGTGCACAGTTCTGACTCCATGTCAGCGTTATGTGCTGCACGCCACAGCCATGGAGACAGGCAGGTCATGTAGTGCAGTGCGATGGATGAGCTGCTGCTGAGCTCTGCAACTGCGCAGCGATGGGCCCCTCAGCACCCATTCTGCCTCCAATAGTCATTGCTTGCCAGTGTCCCAATGCATTATATATATATGGCATGTTTATGGTATAAAGAAAGATGAATCTGAATATCACAGACCTTGGGCTCAGAGGATGATGAGTTTGGGAGGAAAGCAAGTTGTTCAAGGGCAAAAAAAAATAAAGTTAGTAGAGTTTTGTCAAAGGGAATGATACCAGGCTGCACTACTGCACATTGAGAGATCACTTAGGTAGGAAGACAGAAGGAGAATGCTGGGATTACAAGCAGGAAGCACCACCTATTTTGGTGCAGGGATGTCTTCCAAACTGGAAGCTGCATGCAGTGGCCCCTGACATGGCTAGGCGACTAATGCCAGCAGTGTGGATGCTGCTTTAAACAGGCAGATGGGCAGGAGCTGACACAAGGAAACTTCCCTGGCAGCATGGGGCCAGATGGGGTCTGGTGCTGAGTCTCCCTGCCCCAGCTCAGCACCACTGTCACATAAGCATGGATCAGGGTGCTCGACACAGCACTGGTGCCAGGAGGAGGTGTCTGATCTGCTGACAGTAACCACTGCACTCAGCCTCTACCTGTCAGCAGGTCCATGCTAGGAAGTTCCACAAAAGCAGCATTAAAGAAAACATTTTGAACAAACTGAGAGAGAATCGGAGAATTAAAACACCTGTTACCTTCCTTAAATTAAGTAACTCTGCACATGTCCTTGGGATGTCAGCAAAGGGATCCGGCAATCTCAGCAGAAAGGCACCGTTGACAAGAGGAATTCAGGAGGAGAAGCATGCTACAGCTTTATAGCTAATATACAGCTGTAATGCACAGCTCACCATCTTCCTGGGCCTCGCTCCTTTATAGAACACCTAAAACTCTGGGTCCTGTAGCTCCAAGGACCTCCTTTCCATGTGTGCCTCCTGTGAAGCTTTATTTCCCTTTGAAGACCAGTTTCTGTTGTTTGGGTTGTTGTGTTTTTTGGGGGCTTTTTTGTTGTTGTTGTTAAGAATATATTTAGGCAGGCCCTGGCCGTTACCCTGCAGAGAGCTGTGGCCATCAGTCACTCAATAACTGCTTGTGAGGTTCACCAGACAAAGGGTTAGTGCAGCTAGTACCACAATAATGTAGAAACAGAAATATTACAAAGTAAAGGCTTATAAAATAATAAAAATTCTACTTAGTTCAGATACCTCCCTGTGCCTTTGGCAAAATACCTTAAGCATTCCACATAAGGCGGGCATTGTCTTTATAAGATGGCACCTCATAAAATGATATTAAATATCACCAACGGGGCTTCATATTTCATCCAGCAGGGTTTAGGCCAGACATGTTCTATATCACACATTATTAGAATGACATCTGCTTTGCAAGTTGTGTACCCAGGAGCATACCTTGATAACTCATTTCAGCACTCATTCTCGAGGCTTCTGTGGCTTCGCAATACCTAATATGTTTAACTCATTTTGAACAGAAGTCTAAAGCCTGTCGTGGCCCTCTGGCCAAAACTGTAGCTGTCAGGCAACGGAGTCGGCTATCAAACGTTGCTCATTTATCATTAGTGGTGATGCAGCTGTACAGAGAAATGTACCCACTGAAGTGAAGGGCTGTCAGTTGTTCCCTGTGTAATACTTCTCAACAGGGCATTTCTCCATGGGTGTACAGCTAGTGTACTTCACTACTTCCCCATAGCACAGAATTTATAGTAGCAGGGAGATGGGGAACACATTTTCATTTGAATTTGTCTGCCACAGGACAAATCAGGCAATCATCGATAGAATCCCTAATCAGAGGGATATGAGGAGCTGTTACAAACATAGGCATACACACGTACAAGTGTGTGCGCACACGTGTGGCTTTCTTAGCATGCTCCCTATATGCCTATGTGTGTAGTTCAGAATTGGCACATGTTCCACATCCCAGCCGCTTCCTCTTGACTCCTCATCTCTGCGAGAAGGCCAGCATGTGCCATTTAGGCTTCAAATTTCCCCATCAATTCTCCAACACGTGCTACCCTGAACTCTGCTGTCCCCAACTCTGCTCCCCAGGGAGGCAAACAGCCCAATGAGATCTATAGGAGAGATCTCCTGGCTGCAGACACTGCCGCCTTTATTCACAGAGGCAAACCGTGGCCATAGGCTGGGAAAGCACCACAGTTAAGATCATATCTTTAGGCTCTTTGAACCGCTGCGGCATGCGAACATTTGTACACAAGAACTATGAAAGAAGCGTGACACAAACCTCTGCTTTTTCGCTTATCTGTGTCTGGGTGAGATACCGAGCAGGAGACCGACGCCGGCGGCAGAGCAGGGCTCCTCCGCTGGGTTCCTCCTCTGCAGCCCATGAACCAGAGGAACCTGACCATTGCTTTCAAGGCATTCACACAGCTGCAGAGACTTCAAAAGTGAGCATTTATAATCAGGAATCCAAACCCACTTCCGGCAGACAAATAAATTGTTAGCAGTTGCTCGTATATTACATTCTGACCTCAGGCCACTTATGCCCAAGTTGCTGGAAAGCAGAGATGGTCCCAGCACTGTGCACTGAGGACATGGCTTTGGTTCTCTGAGCAAGAAGTAGCTGCAAATACCAGTCCTCTGAACTGTTTGACCGTGAGCAGATACTATGAGAAACCCTAATTTTCTCCCCAAACTGCTGGCCGTACCAGACTTGGTCCCAGTTCTCAGCACCCCCATGAATTCTGCCACTGATAATGTTACCTGGTTAACAAAGCAGCAACTGAACCACTTTGCACATATGATGATACATTTCTAGAACGGGCTGCCCAGAGAGATTGTAGATGCTTCGTCCCTGGAGGTTTTCAAGGCCAGATTGGATGGGGCCCTGGTCTAGTATTAAATGGGGAGGTTGGTGGCCCTGCATGTGGCAGGGGGGTTGGAGATTCATGATCCTTGAGATCCCTTTCAACCCTGGCCATTCTGTGATTCTGTGATTCCGTGAGGTATAGAAACACGGTGACCCAAACACAGCTGTACTTCCACAGCATGACAGCCAGTGCACGGTTCTCATCTATGATAGGATGAGTAATACAAAAAAAGGAGGAAGAACACAGACCTGAACTGCAGAACAGACAGCATGGGACTGCTGTGGGAAAGGCTGCTCTGCCTGAGCCAGGAGCCAGCTGTAAACACTCGGGGGGGGGTTCTCCTGGGAAGGGGCTACAAGTCCCACCACCCATCTCTTTTATCTCAGGGCCGCTTTTTTCTCCTTCTCCCCAGTTCTGAGCATGACACACTCTTCAGGGCTGGGACTGTCCTGGCCTGGTCCTCCTACCCTGCCTCCTGAGCTTTGTATTACTTCGGAAATACCAGTATATTTCATGAGCATCAGAAAATGAACACAGCAGAAATGAAGATGATGAATGGCAAGCTTTTCCTGGCAGACGTGAGCTATAAAAAAAGATCCTGATGTGGTAGAACAGGTTTGACCAACGAGGTTGGCCAGAAACGCGGTGAAACAGGCTTCAGTGTGAAAATGACACCACCAGATTCATAAAAGGCAGAAACAGCAAACAAATAAAAAAAATGAAGCCAACTGAACAAGCAGCTACTTGGGACACAAGTGGATGCTATGGAAAGTGGGAACATGCACTTTTTTCCATGTGATGTCCTTCCTGTACAGGGTCAGGCTGGGCTCACTTTGTGCCACAGGACAGGGCTACAGCTGCAGAGCCCTTCTGGCTGACCTCATGCCTTATGCATCCCCTTCTGCTTTTGGAGCCCCATGCACTCACAGTACCATGAGTCTGTGCCCACTGCTGTGGCCCACAGTACAATCAAAAATATATACATTCATACGTTGGCTTCTTTATTTCATCAGGGCAAGTGCGGAAGAGCATGGCAAGGCTGTACTGAAAGTGATTTCAGCATTTTATTGCTAAACCAGCAAAACTCACCACTTGAACATGGCTTCTGCTCTTTCATTTGCAACCAAACCAAAGATGGACAGAATCCATCTTTCCAAGTCGTAAGAGACTTACATAAAATCCCTGGGGCCTCTCCTCAAAGTAGTTATGGGAATTAATTGCACTGTGCTCATCCCAAAGCTAAGCCTCTCCCTCTGCCACACTCCTAACTGCATCAGGCTTAAAGGGCAGGAACATCTCAGCACAGACTTTTGAAAAGTCCTTTTTGCAATATTACATGCTAGCCAAAGGTACAGCTTCAGTTCTGACTCCCAGGTGCAGCAGGGACTGGAGATGCAAGCTATTGGCCTACATAGGAATTGGCCACTGCTGAGCTCTGTGTGCTGAATGGTATGCCAGGCTGCAGAGGTCAGAAATGCTCCTAGAGAGGAATGTCTCTCTCAGGGGTATGTCCCTTCCCAGCTCCTGGACAATAATTTCTCCATCATGTCCTGGAAGATAGCTGTGACTGATCAAGGAGCCTTCACCACAAGGCACACCGCCAGAGGTGTGAGATGGGCTGCAGGAGGAGTTCTACACTTGGCAAGGGGGACAACCTGTGTTGAATCTTCCCCCAAAGGGGGGGAAAGGATGCTCAGTGTCCATCCACAGGTCTCCTGTGAGCTTTGAGCTCTTCCCTCCTACTCCCCAGCCAAAGGCCACCTCTGCTGCTCCCACATGGGTGTCTGCACTGGGCTGCAGTGAGTGACCTCTGCTCACTGCTTCCACTCAGACCAGGTGCAGTGCTGTACCCTGCAGCACATGGCCTGGCACTGTCCTTTGCGAGCTTTTCACACCACTCTGTAGGCGCCTGTAAGCAGTCAGGATGCACAGCTCTGCTCAGCACCTGTGCACTGGCTCATGTGAGATTACAACGTCTGAGCAAGGAGAGCTGAATTCAGGTTGCCTTGAGTGACTAATTTCAGACTAATCTGTTCTTGTAAAGGTACCATGTCTTCTTAGCATTGCTTTGCTTCCATCTGGAGACCCATCCTTCTTCTCCTTGCTCTCGTTGTAACCCCACTGCACTCCAAGTGCCTCTCTTTCCTACTCAGATGCCTTCCACTCTGCAGGCAGCTCACTACCACCTACCCCTTCCAAGTTGGGACAGAGTCTTTGTTCCCACCTGGTAGTTGCAGCCCCATGGTTGACTGGGAGCAATGAGCAGAGAGGCAGCAGAGGCAGCAGTCAAAGGCTGGTGGCAAGCTGTGCTTCTGCCTCCCCAGCTCCACTAAACCCATCTCCAATGGTAGGTGGCTGTGATCCCTCCGCCAGGGTCAGTGTTCATTTAGCATACGCTTCAGAGCACTGCTCTTTCCCACAGCTCTTCAAAGTCTGCATTCTGATGCAGCTGGTGAGTCAGAAACAGATTAGTCACAGGGGAGGTTCATTCTTGCCCACAGAAAGTCCAGCATGAGTAAGGACAACACAGGAGCAGCACAAGCCTATTTTGGTTCAGGCCAATGACTTACATCTCATGCATCCCAGCGTGCTGCTCTGAGCATCAGGGCAGGATGGGCACACAGCTAGCTCCATGCTGTTCTGCTGATACCAAGGACTTTACCACCATCAAAGCAGAATGGGACTGGCTCATCTCAGATGCCCTTCTACAGACCAGGTGCTGAAGAGATCTCCATCAATCACACACAACTGATGCGTGGAATGCTGCATGTCCTGTTGAAGCTTCCAAGTCTCTAGCCAAAGCAAAATGAGAAGTTAGGTGACATCTGGGCTCTACTGAGGCTGCAGCAAAATGTTCCTGCAAGGCTACAGTTCTACTCTATAGTGATGAGATGATAAGGGTGTCTAATTTCCCTAGATACCTACCAGTCACAGAGCAAGTGCTCTCTAAATTACCAACAGAAATGTTTAAATGCAAAAGCTTCATTTTCGATTTCATACGGACAATATAATGTCCAGAAGTGACAATACACTTCTCACTGGGAAACTGGCTGGTGTTAGGTTGCTATGATGCTAAATTTCAGCTAATTTTTTTAATGAGTTTACATTGTGGATGTAAAATCACTGCAGTAGTAGTCACAGGTTTGTAGGATGCTTACTCAAAACCTGAGCTTCTGAAATGAGATATTTTCATTCATATTTTAAAATTCCATTCATTAACAGGTGTATATAGTTTGACTTCTTCAAAGTATGCTGCAGACACAGCCTAATAAATCTCCAAGACACCTCACTGCATCTCCATTTTATAGATGTGGTGATTCGAATATATCCAAGTGAAATGACTTGCCCAAGGCTAATGAAGGAATCAATGTCAGAGACAGGATTAAAAGTAGAAAAATTCCTGGCCCCCAGTCTCATAACCTAACTGTGGTTCTGCATTTCACTCATATCAAAACAGGAAAGGGAAACACATATATTTTGAATATTGTGAAAAGCAGTCCATAGCAGATGGGCAGTCTGATGTTTTAAAATTGCTTTACCTATTGTCATAAAATAGCAATAATACACAGGATGTGGTTCTTGTCCAAGACTGTACCGAGGTGCAAACAGCATGAAGTGTGTCACTGGTAGCTCTCAGAGCAGCAGAAGTTGCACTAGAAGTATAAAATGAGCAGTTTCTGAGATGTCTTTCCTGCCCTGTTTCTTAAAACGAATTTCTTTCTGTGTATTTCAGTTGCCAAAACCTTCTTTGAAGCTGGTTAGTACCTGTTTAGTACTGAATACGCTGCAAGATACCTACTGCTGCATCTCAGAGGTGGGAAGAGGTCTGTAAAAGCCACTTCTCAAATATGCAGGTGTTGCCCACCAACATTTTTTCACGGGTCTGCCCACCTGTTTGTTAGATGCTAACACAGGGCTAGGTGGTGCTGCCCAAATGTAACAGGAAGAACGAGCACCTGTCTAGTTGTGGGCAAGAATAAATTTAAAATAAAAAAAAAAGGAGGAAGAAAAAAAGAAGGTACACTTGTGTCATTAAATATGGATGAGCAAGACTGAGTTGGAGACAGTAGGATATGGCTTGAAATAAAACCCCATGAGGGCCACACCCCCTAGTATGCCCAGGGCCATCCCTTTAAAGGTAGGACAATTATAATTAATTGAGCAATCTGACAGAAAGCGTACATCCATACAGCAGAGCAGAAAGTGACACTGTGCACAGAGCCATCCAGGACACTTGAAGGGTTAATTCTGGTTCACTAGACCAAGGACAGTAAATTCTGCCTGTGGCTACCACCAGTCTATTGTATTATTATTGCAGGCTTTAGAAACAGCTTTTAATTTTAACCCATTCCAGCCCTCTCTACTGTCTTCTGTTCGTATGATTGGCACTGAATAAAATTGTATACAATCTTCCTGGTTCAGTAATTTCTTTTCACTTTCAACGTTTACTACATTGTTCAGAAAAAAAACAATCCAAGGAACCTGGGCCTTCTTTGCTTATCATTATTAATGCTTAAAGACCAAAATTATTGCCAGAAAACTGGGCCCCTTTCATTTTGTTGTTATCAGCCCTCACTATCTGCTGCAAGGATCACTGAAGAATCCCATCTGTTATGTTTTGGAAATCCTGTCATGACTGCCCAGAGTTCTGACAAACACGTAGACTAAATATAGATAACTGTGTAACTCTTTCCATCTTCCCAATACCTGCATTTATTCACCTACCTGCATTTTGTAAGTTGGTGTACTGGGAACTGTTTGTGCCTGTAAGAGCTGACAAATCAAACCCATTGGTTACCTGTAATGCAAAAATCTCACGATCAACAACATTGTCAGCAATATGCTGAGCACATCATCAACCCATAGGCTGGCTGGAGGGAACCAACTGATGGAGAAGGGATGATATGAGGTAGTGCGGGTGATAGCAGAGGACTGATTCAGTGACCCAGGCAGTCCTTTCAATCCTGTATTTCTACGTTCATGTGTTCATACTGAAGTTGATGGGAGACATTTCCACTGACTTCAAAGGGCTTTTCTGTCCCATTCCATTTCTTTTCAATATATAGATGCAAGAGTAATGTCACGCATGATTTTCATGAGACGTGTTAATATACAACCAGTTCTGGGAGCAGCAGAATGAGTCCAGGTGGATAAACTGCTCATCCCAAAGTGCTAAACATACCAACACCTGAAAAACCTCACCTCCTTTTATCTAAATTGCAGATAAATCCAGAAGTATCACATGTTAATGTCCCATCATCATTAGCCTTAACCAATTATGCCAAATAAATAATCCCATTACCTATTGGTGCTTTTGGCAAGCTACATGGATAGAGTGAACAAATGGCTTGGAGCTGGGGACTGGCTCACCTTCCAGCAGTAGGAAGGATTGCGCTAACACCAATGTCCCTGTTCTCGTGGTGCTTAGAATGAAAGTTCATTTAGTGCATACGGAACAGCACTCATTTGTCAGAGTAGTAAGCCACAAAATGCTTTGAAAGGTGTAGAAGCCTAATATTGATGGCCACAGAAAAGAGGAGTGAGAAGAACTGGGAGGCTGTGTATTTATACGGTGTATTCTTCTCTCTCTTCTTTTTTTTTTTTTTCTTTTTTTTTTCACAAACAGGCATTCAGCCTGTTCAGTAGAGTCACTCCAATATGTTATCTAATGGCTCCATCTTTACTTGTGAGATTTCCCATCTGTGGCCAGACTGTGCCACTGCCTCATTCAGCTCAGCAAGTGAACAGCATTTATTCCCTCATTCACATCTTAGGAGACGGGTCTTGCTCTAGAGCAACAAAAAAATGAGTTGCTCCATAGTCAGGTCTGAACCTTTGCACTTAAGCCAGCCTTTGATGAAACTTCACTTTGGATTTCAACGCTTTTTATAACTGGGCTATCTACTATCTCTCTCTGTGTCCCTTTCTTTGTTCTTTCTGCTGGTATCATTCTGATCTATGTGGTGGTTTCTCATTTTTCTCTTGAGGTTTCTCTATCTGGCTTGTTTTCAAAGCCAAATAACACAAGTAATTATTTATAATCTGTAATTGCCTCAGAAGGATAAATGCTCAGACATGATCAGTCCATTTTGTTATTTTTTCACCTATTATACAGTAGTATCTTCTGCTGTTTGGAAGCTTCTTTACTCTTTTTCTGTCTTTCACCTCATAGCATACTGTAAAGCTATAAGTGATTCATAAAACATGGAAGACTATGTCATGTCCAGCTTGGATCTCCTAAAGCAGTCACTTCCACTGGGTTCATGCTGCCTCAAACCAGGATACTCCATGGATGGATCTGCCATGGGGGCACTGGTGCAGCCACTGCTACTGCTCCTCAGGGTCTTTCTCATTACCAGAACAGAAAAATGGCATTACATCATGAGAAAAGATGGTCCAGATGCCAAAGACATTTGATAGGCATTGAGAGATCTGAGCGCTTCATGGCTGCATCTAGATCTCTGCACATACCCACACAGTATCGACTTGAGGAAAGCTGTTGCTTGTTGTACCTGGGAATGTCATTTCAAAAACCACAGCATGGGGAAGGGAGAGATATTGAAGTGCATCTGAGTTTCTGCTCATTTAGTTCAAGGGGTAAATATGGGAATATCAGCCTCAGAAATGGGGAATCAGCACTGCTTCAGCTCCTCGTTGTCACCCAGTTGAAATTTGGTTGCCTTCTACTCCATCCGAAGGCTGGCTTCAAGTCATGGGTGTTAAAGGCCCATGGTTAGAAACAGTCCTTGAGGTCTTGCCATGGCCTTGCTGACAATGTGAACAAACAGAAGAAATTACATGTGACAGGATGGAAGCAAAACATCTAGTTTTGAAAATAAGGGCTTACTGTTCACTCCACTGTCATGCTCTGCAGACAGCTAGCAGCAATCCCAAGTGACTCTTTTGTGCCTCTGAATGAGTGATGCAAGGACACTGGCAAATGTAGCAGACATTCAATATCCAAAAGCAGAAGGGCCTTGCATGAGAAGCAACAGTGTGTCTTCATTTCTGAAACCAACACATTCCCAAGACAGCCTGGATCCACAGGTGGCACCAGTCCAATGGAGTCACACCAATGTATAGACAGATCCCAGCCAGCTTGTATTTGGGTGCAGTTCATGCAGACCTGCAGAACTGCTCCAACTGACTTCATGATTATCTCATCAGTGGCCACATGTCACTGTGGGAACTCAGTCACAGTTTGCCATAATTTTCCTACAAGGGGAAGGAGGAGGATAAGAGCAGCAAAGCTGAGCTGATCTGTGCTGGCTCCAGGACTACAGTGTGACAAGAGATACCTATGACTGTCACATACAAATTTAGTAGCTAGCATACTTTCATTTTGTTTGATTTTTAGCACAATTCTCTCCACAATATATATGAGTAGAATGCATAAACAAAGCACTTGGCACTTGGAGTTTATCTCAGTGAGGGAAAATTTGATTGATGAATAGTAAGTTCAGAAGGTGGCAAATGTTCAACATTGGTCTAAATAACCCTTTGCTGCTTTTTTTTTTTTTTTTTTTTCTTCTTCAGTTTGTCTTAGCCTTCACTATTCTTGCCTTTAAGTTTCTTTGCTCTAGTCCTTCATTAGTTGCTGGGAAAACAACTGTTCTATTTGTTCCTTACGCTGATTCCTTTCATTGATTGGGTTCCTTTCTTTGGGTTCCTTTCTTTGATTGGGTTCCTTTCACTGATTGGGTTCCTTTCACTGATTGGGTTACTTACTGCCTGGAAAAGAGGCAGAGAACTTTTGCGTGGTCACATTGCTTCTTGCTTTCTCTTTAACTTCACTGTGGGACAAAGCCTGTGAGGCAGACCTTCCTCACAGGATGCAAAATGGTCATTTTAATCCCAATTATTACTATTGTTGCACCACCAAAAGATAGGAGGGGTGCAAAGAGGCAAGCAGAGTGCTTGGGACAAGGCCTGGGACAAATTCCAGTCAAATTAGGCTAAATGAAAGGAAAAAAAAACTATTTTACAGAGAGAGAAACTGAGGCACAGAACCTTACAGTGCTTTGTGTCCTTGAGAAATACATGAAGAGAGGGGCAGAAGGGCAAATGTTAGACAGTCCTTGAGGCTGTGCCTTAGCAATGAGATCACACAGCCTCTACGTGCAAGCTCAGAGAGAAGGGGCAGCTTCCTAAGAGGGAAATCCTTGCTGGGTTGAGCACTTTGCTTGCCTTTCTCTTCTCACTCCTCTCATCCTTCAAAGAATGGAGGATGGTAGGGGGCAAGGTGCTCTTCATCTCACCCCACATCCAGTGGGTACAGGGACTGCTGAGCAGGCCCCCATCACCCACACCCCTCGGCTGGGGAGGAGGGATGCGATTTGTAATTACGATACTTTCATTACCGTCTCTTAGTTCTTTGCACAGTAATGTCAAGAGCTTTGTCTTTGTAGTGTTATTGGCATTTTTCATCATATTCATGAAGTGTGGGTCAATTTTCTTCAAAAGGCTCACTTCGCCAACTTGCCACAAAGACAGACAGTAATAAATTCTACTAGTGCACAGCGAAGGCTTCGTAGCTGCAAGCAACAATAAAAAGCAATGAGCTGGGTATCACTAAGTAACTCCAGTTTACACTGCATTTTCTTCTTTTATTGAAAACTCGGAATATGAATTTATTAATGAATACACAGGCCTACTTTGAAGGGGTGTGGGAGGGGTCCGAGTCAATTTATTTGGTATTCACACAGTGTGCGCCTACATTGTATTGTTTCATCATTTTATGGCCAGGCACAGCTTGTTAGGCTGTGGCCCTCCAGAAAAAAGCAGGCTCATATAGCAACACCTTGACGTAGATGTACAGCTGCTTTCACTGTGGCTGTCTCACCTTTAGCCCTGTCTGTCTACTGCCGGCTTTCATTTTCTGCATTCATACATCAATAAGCTTTGCATGCTGACACCTAATTTTGCAGGCTACTTTGGTTATGGAGGCCGTGTTTTGCATATCACTACCCACCCCCTTCTGACATCTACTGCCTTTAAAGAGGGAGAGAATAGAGAGAGCACGAAAGAGGGATTCTTTTCTTCTCAGCCTAATCAGAGATTTCTTTATATTTGTCAAAAGCTGATCTGCCAAATCAACTTTAATTGATTCTTCCACAGTTCTCATGTATGATTTTTGAAGGACTGGGCTTGTGTTCCAAGACACGGTGTTGTGTTTCAAACAAATATGAGGTTTCTACAGCAAATCAAATTTAGAAGCCAATTAGTTAGCATTTTCCATTCCAATTAAATTTGAGACCTTTCTGATTTTGAAAGGCTTGTGTGTCTGTGCATGTGTACATATGTATTTGTGTGTATCTGTATCTATTCTATATATAGATAAAGATATGTACGTATAAAATGTTTAAAGTGCCCTCAGTGGTCTAATAAGCAGGGAGGGGCTATATCTACCCATTTTAATATACATTTTGGAGGAATTTTTTTGTTGTTGTTTATCTCACACACGCTTACCAGCCCTCACTAACCTCTTATGCAACACCACGAAGGTTTTTACTTCTCAGCCAGGTGGCTAATATCATTATATCACTGACAACTCATAAAATGTTATAATCTAATTGGGCCTTCCCTCCTCACACATGCACACACTGAAAGCTCACTGTAGCAAGGAAAAGATTAGGGGCAAAAGCAAGATTAATGGTTAAAAAAATGGAAGCAGGCAGAGTCCAGATAGAATACAGTAGCTTAAAAACAAATATAATTTGTATATTAAAATGTGTTTTTACCTAAATAGATTTACTCCAAATAAACCAAGTAGACAATGTAGGGCATTTCCTACTGAGT